TCCACACCCACCCACCCACACCTACATCCATACCCACCCACACCTACACCCACACCCACATCCCGCACACTCACACCCACGCCCACACTCACACCCTCACACCCACACATCCACACACCACACCCTTTTTAAATTAAATATGAAAGATTAAGAACTTCAAAAAAGGAAGAGTACTAAATTTGAATTAAACAGTAAAATGACCTTCCTAATTACACGTAATGAATAGACGATACAAGTATGAGGGGGTAGGTCCCATTTGGAGTACTTTATAGTGCAATACTTTCCAGTAAATCTCTATTTTCTAAACAACAACAAGAGTTATAACAGAGATTTTTTTACCATAAATACTATCGATGATGAGCTATCTTCTCATGGTATTGAAACTGTCTTATCATTTAATAATTTAGGGCTAGTATCATATACCATTTCCGGAAAGCATATTCATGTATATATGGCAAGTTGGTGGGATCAGCGCTTTAGAGAGTGTGAGTGTGGGTGTAGTTCTTCTTTTAACACACACCGACATCCACGCCCACACCCACACCCATTCCGCACCCACCCCACACTCACACCCACCCAAACCCACACCCACACCCACACCCACACCCACACCCACACCCACCCAAAACCACACCCACCCCACACCTACCTCACACCCACACCCACACCCACATCCATACCCAAAAGAACAAAGATGAAAATGGATGTGTGTGGGTATCTATGGTTCATAAGCACCACACTCACATCCACCCTCAAGATTTCTTATACCAAATAAAGCGAATAGGCAATATATTACAACGTACGACTAATAATTTCAATTTCGTTGTAATCGATGTTGAACGGATAAATCAATATCACTACATCTGCTCGTGTTCGATTCGAAAACTATCGAGAGGACTAATTGTATTGTGCCGAACGGAGGTACAAAGTCAGGTTGTAAGAACTGTTGACGTGATTGCACTGCTACTTCTAAAACAATAAAGAAAATATAGGGTGTGAGTGTGAATGACTTTCCACCTAACTCACACTTAAAACAGATTACGCTATCAACTTACTGAAAGTATGATTGACAGAAGACTGTTTTGGTCCAAAAGCCATGAGATAAACCCCGATGGCACTGCTCCAAACGTTGATTGAAACATAGACACGCGCTTTCTCCTCAACAATGAGGCGCTGATATCGCGATATACTCACTCGCTGTGACATTGTCACCGGTTGAGTCATATTCGGCACTGAAGCAAAATAACAGCTCGTATTGTGTAAATGAAATACTTTCATATCTGTTTCGCGCGGTTTGACTTTCCAGACTGATTCGTCAACTGAGAGGATGCTGGTGTTACAGCTGGTAAGACTATTCACTACTAAATTCGGATTACGATGCGATTTGCCTTCAAAGAAAGTAGTGGTGATCGACAGAACTTTGTTGAATTGTTCGCGTGTCAAGTTTGCTCGGCGCAATGATGCGTGAGACATATCAGCATCAGTTAGATCAGCACTGTTGAAGTTGACGTCATCGCAATGTGACCATGCAAAATTTGCTCGTGCAAGTTGTGCTCCTTCGAAACTGTGTGCGATTAGATTAATCGAGCTGAAATCAGCGTCTCGTCCATCAATATGAGTAAAATCTACGTGATTGAGTATCTGAGCATTCGAAAAACTACTACGCATTAGCGTGGCGCCGTGAAACGAAGTATTTCGGATGAATGAACCATCAAATCGAATATCATCACAATGACATCGACAAAAATTGCTCTTTGTCAAAGAACTATCAGAAAAGCTCGCTTTCGTGACTATAGTCTCAATAAAGTTTACATTTTCTACATGAGTGTTTTGGAAACTGGCATCGATCAAATTGGCATGCCCGAAGCTGCTGTTGATGATGCGAGAATCTAGCCAGATAGATTGTCCCAATATAGAATTCGTAAATACCATGTTATTTAGTTCAACATTGGTAAACCGACTATTTGTACCATAACTTCGCGAGAAATCATTTTGAGATAATTTCATATTGATGAACTTTGCAAAACTTAATGTAGCACCAACAAAAATACTCTCACGTATGTCGAAATTTTTAAAATATGGTGATTCAAAAACAACATTGTTAAAATTCATACGAAATAGATCAACGGCATCGATGAAATTGCAATAAAAGAAATTAGTCTGACCAGCAATATGCATTTCTCGAATTGTTGTACCGATAAATTGGCAATCGCTAAAAGTGACATTTGATGCTTGAATTCCAACTAAAGTAGCATGATCAAAAACCGCTTTCGTGAGTGAAGACCTTTGAAAATTAGTGTTTACAAGAGTAGCTCGAGAAAAGTCCACATGATCAAGATAGGTGCGGACGAAAGAAGCATCTTGTAGATAAGCTTCACTAAAATTAGCATTTGTTAGATCACGATTCTGAAAGGAGGCATTGCTGAGACGAGCTCCGTACAGGTAAAGTCCGTGCATTTTCAAGTAAACCGTAGTACTACTGAGATCGATGCCATTGAATTCTGCATCATGGAGATCGAGTGGATGTTGACCATTTGTTAATTGTCCAGCTTCATAGAGAAACTGAACCACTTGCGTATTTCGTGTTGAATCGCTTTGGCGTGCAAGTGTTAGTGTTTTCACACGGGCGAGTGTAGCTGTGAGTGGATTCGCTGAAAGACATCCATTATTCTTTTCAAGTAATGCCCAAATTTCGTTCATATAGGCAATAAGTAAAGCATCTTGATGTCTTTGTGTCTCAATAGCAAGCTCATGAAGTTTTTGTTTTTCCAATAGATCTCTTTGTTTTTTAGCTAGTTCGTCATCATGTGCTCGTTTACTTTCAGATATATTTAAATCTTGAATACGCCGAAGTTCATCTTGTTCCCGTTGTTCTCTAGCTATTTGTTTATCTAATGCACGTTGTAACATCGAATTATTCATATCTTCTTCACGTTGCAAACGAAGTTCTGCTAGATCTTGCGCTCGTTGTTCTTGGCTTATTCGTTGTTGTTCAAGGGTAATTATAACAGTGAATACACCTAACATTAATGGTAGAAGTAGAGACGAAATAAATTGTAATCCATCTTTCAATGTTAAACGACAAATACCAACTGAATTACGATCCAGATCGGTCATTGTACTTTGGTCGTGCGAAGACATCACGAGAGAATTTTATCGTTGAATACTGATGATGATGCCTATAAATAATCCAGCGCGCCTTATGGTAATGACGTAGGCAAATTATTTTCTCGCCAATATCACGTAGTGCAGTATTTGATATTTAGTTTCCGCAAAAAGTTTATTATTACATTGAGCATGATCATCGCTGACTAACCCACGATATAGAAGCGAGTAGACAAGCAAAGTAGATAAAGCAAAGAAAGATTCTTCTGATTGATTGAATCATAATTTCTATAAAGCAGTTAGTGAGAGTGTCTTCTCACCTAAAATTTATTTTATTTCAGTGTGTGAGTGTGGGTGTGGGTATGGGTGAATGTGGGTGGGTGGGTGAGTGGGTGTGGGTGTGGGTGTTCCTTTTGTCCTTAATCACATACACACCGGCACCCACACCCACACCCACCCCACCCACACTCACACCCACACCCACC